CTTCCTAGACCACTAACCACCAAGTTAACTGGAGGTCAAACCAAATTTTTCATTCAGGAAAGCCTCCTCTGATCAATCCCCACTTCCCCCGACTAGATCAGTTGAATCTCAAATAATCTTACATTTTTCCTTTAATTTTTTAAATGTTTTATTTATTTCTGAGAAAGAGAGAGAGAGAGAGAGATACAGATCTGAAATAGGCTCCAGGTTCTGAGCTGGCAGTTAGCGCAGAGCCCGATGTGGGGCTCAAACCCACGAACTGAGATCATGACCTGAGCCGAAGTCGGACACTTAACTGACTGAGCCATCCAGGCGCCCCTACGTTTTTCCTTTAAAAAGAGCTTAGCAAAGTGACTAAAGGATATGTGTTAATATTTGTAGGATATTGCATGAATAGAACTAAAATGTTTTAAACGTAGTTGGAAAATAATATAAAGGAGGCATTGACATTATATTCATAGATATATTTGGGATAAAAATTCTAATCTTAAGATGTGTGGAAATGAGTATAGAAATTACATTTACTTTTAAAGAATTTTATGCAAGACTTTTAAAGACAAATGAAACATTGGCTTACTACTTTACTGACAGTTCAAAATGCAGTATCATAGTGGTAATAGTAGTACAACTCTCAGAGTATGCTAAAACTCAGTAAATTGTACAGTTAAAGGGAAAATTTGGGATGCCTTGCTGGCTCAGTTCACGGAGCATGCAACTCCTTCATCTTGTGGTCATGAGTTCAAGCCCCACATTGGACATAGAGCTTACTTAAAAAAAAAAATTAAGGGTAAATTTAATGGCATGTGAATTATATGTGAGTAAAGCTGTTATTAAGGGGAAAAACTGATGTCTTAATGTTGCAATTTGAACTTAAAGAGAAAATACTCAGCTCCCAATAGCAATAGTTTATTGTCTATATTTTTGATGCCATCAAATAAAAAGACAAACCATGACTTTGGTGAGGAAAGACATTATTCTAAAAGACTACAGCAATGGGGGAAGACTAATGCAATAGAGAGAACATTTCCACTCATTAGAACTCTCAGTGTCTTCATGGTCAGGCAGAAAAGGCTTTTCCTTTATAGGGAGGAATGAACAAGGCTAAAGAAAACTGGGCACTGGGGAGTGGGGTGAGTAGACGGCAGGGTTGGGCAGTTGAGCAGAAAGTCCCTGTGGTCAGCTGGTTCTCAGGGGTGCAGTTAAGAGCAGATTGTTCAGCCTTCCAACACTTACTTGTGCTTGAGGATGGACCAAACTTAGGGACCTGTGGGGAGCAGAGAAGACCAGCTATAACATTTGATCAATTCAGATTAGTGAGCATTTTGTCCAGGTTGTTCATCAGGGGGACAAACAGTTCATCTAATCATCTATGAGACAAAGAATGGGAATTTGGAGAATCTGTTCCCAGCCTTGCCAAAGGTACAAAAGAGGGGACAACTGTGAGTCTAACCTCAACCATATAGAGAAGAGTGATTCTTTGTAGTAAACTATCTCCTGAGACACAAAAGGGTGGCGAGATTTCTTAATTATCACTTTTTTCCAGGAGGATGGGGTTCAGTTGAACTTCAACATTGTCAGTACTGTCTAGTAAGAATTCCTCACAAAGGTATTTTTGGTTGCATAAATGCAGTGGTCAGTGCAGACTGTCAAATGGAACAGATCTGAGATCACATTAAAGTAGTGAATTCTCAGCCCCCCATACATACTTAGCTATGGATATTCATAGCAGATGGATAGGCCAAGGAGGAGGTTCAAGTTGGTAGCGCAAGAATTTTCAATGCTTGAAATATCATCACTTTGTTGTAAAATATCATAGTTCACAAATTTGTTATTGCTTTGGGAAGCATTTCTGTGGGCATCCTGATAGAGAGGGTTAGAACATAGTTTTGGCAATAATTGTAGGCAGTGTTAAATATTTTATGAGAAATACATTAGTGTAAATCACCATTTTAAAAAGTGAAACATGAATCACTACCCAAAGAATTGGACTTAGTGCAAGAAATCCTGATTTATCTGCACTGTTGATACTGTATATGTAAATGCCATTTCTCAAAAGCATAAAACCCTGAGTATAATATATTGGTTAGTGTAAGCAGTATAATATATATTTTTCAGGCTGTGCTAGTTTCATTAATCATATATTTTGAGAATTTTAAGCTTATTTTTTATGAGACATTGCATTACATGTGGCATTGATATGCATGTGTAATTTATTACTTGGAAGTGAATTATTCTACACTATTTCATGTGCTTGATATATTGATTTTCAGTTGTGATAGATCATTTTAAGATTGCACGACTTTACTCATGGTGATTTATCCACAGAATCACATAGGCTGGGGCAAGCTGATGCAGCCCTTTGAACACTTTCTATCAGCTATAAATAGAGTTGTTAACTGGAATTCTTAACCCCAACAGGGAAACATATTTAACAAGTTGAATGAAAAAACTTTCATCCAAATCTAATTAGCCATTGAATAAGTGCCCATAAAAGGTAGTTTCAATATGTCTTTTTCCTCCATATGCTAATCTTGTAACCCATTTTTTATCAATGAGCAGTAAAGTATACAGTCAAAGAAAGAGAAAGATGTCATCAGTTTGCTTAAAAGATGTCTTCTATGATTGCAGATTGTCTTTTAATTCTTATCAGCTCAAAAGCACACATTTGCATTGACTTGAATTATTATCACCCCTACCTTTGTAGAAAACTCCCTCTGAACAGTCCCCTAGAGAAAAAAAAACATACAGCACCCAAACATCAAGTATGTGAAGATATTGCACAGAGGAGCCAAATAAGTGAAAGGGGGTATTTTTGGAATTCAGGCAGTATTTTTGGAATACTTCCTAGAATTTCTGATAAACAATGTGAAAGCTATACCTTGCAAAAATATGTTGTCTTATCGCTGGTGCCATGGTACTTAAACCACAGGAGCATTTGAAGGAAAATATACTGAAAGATTTCTTCTTTGCTCTTTTAGCTTAGACCCCACCTATATCTCTCTGTCTCTTCATTGTCATTTTCCACCCTTCTTCCTTTTGTTGCTCTTGTTATTGCTGTCATTGTTATTGTTTGTGAATATTGCTCCTCACTTAGGTTTCCTAGAGACTAGGAGGGTTTGTTCCTAATTTCCATCCTGTGTACCCTGCATAAAGAAGAGTTCTAGGCACACCCTAGAACTTGATAAATATTGTTGAATAAATTAAGGAAAGAATGAGTAAAATTGGGTTTGAAGCTACACATTCACTGTAATGGTTCCAAATTTAGTACTAGAGTCAAACACTTTCCTACTACTTCCATGTTTAGCCATGGACAAATTACCTAACCTTTTAAACCTCAATGTTTTCTGAAAATGCAGAAAAAGACAGTATCTTATCTCAAAGAGTTTTTGTTAGCATTAAATGAAATGATACAGGTAAATCACTTATCACATTTACCTGGCAGATTGTAAGCTCACAGTATATATTGACCATTATTATTCTTTATGTACATCACTTAATGCTCTTCCCTACGCCTCTTTGTGCATTTACACTTTTCACAAATGTGTTGGTTGGCTTGAAAATAAGAGCTGTAATTAATGAGGATGTGCTTCTTTTTAATAGCTTGCACCTCAAATAAAATCTAAGATTTGAATTTAAGAGAGTACCTTTGAAATAATTTTCAACATATTAATTCAAATGTGAAAAAAATTGATTTTACGCGATGGGCAATATGGTGATTCTTTGCTGTGTGTTTAGAAGGAATATATTTAAGGAAAATGATCAAAGGGAAAGGTATGTTTGGGGAAACAGCATGTATTCATTTAAGTCTTGGGGCTGAACTGCTATCTGACTAAAGTTGCATAAAAAGATGATATGACTCTCATATGTCATAAGTCTGTAATTGCAGTATTGAATAAATAAGTGGCTTATAAATAAGTGGCTCAAACCTACCTGTATATAATTCCATTGAAAACAAAGCAAATTTCTGAGTAACATATTAGGACTCTGAGCTGTTAGTGCAGCAACTACCACTAGATGTCATTCATTTCTTATTCTGTCGTCTCACAAAAGGTCTGTAGGTTCTGGTAAAAAATATTCCGTCTTCAGAATTTAAATTCCAGGCTTTTGATGGACATAGGTAATAAGTCTTTAGAGATACATTAGGATTTGATAAAATTAACTATCACCAAGATGGTATCTGTCTATACAGCTAAGTAACCATTTTGATCAAATTGTCCTCTTAATTTAGTCAAACTTAGATTTAATTAATTTGATAAATCTGTTTTATGGATTTGACAAATACTTGCAAGGCATTTTATCTAATTTTACCTATAAATATAGATTTAAAACATGAATATAGTCCTTGTTGTCCTATTTATTTATTCAACTTTAGCCTCTGAGGAGAATTTTTGTATTCATGTCATGTAATTTCAGTGCATATTGGATCTCTGCTGTGACTTCAGCAGAGCCTATTGTAGAAGCAGAACCATCTCGGGCTCTATGAAATTTTGCAACTGGCGAACAAGGAACAAAACCACCTTAAAACATGCTCAGAGATCAGGAAGATAATTCTACCTTGTTTTTAAAATAAATTTTTAAGAAGCTTGTTTACACAGTCTGATTTAAAATAGAATATCTAAACTTTTATTTGGAAGCTGGTATATATTTCTTTGTCAATGATGCTTGGAGATTATTAGTGATGCTGGAGAAAACATGGGGCTGTAAGTTCAAAGACTTGTATTACGTTGGTTAGCTTTCCCTTACACCTGTGTCAAACATGGTGTAGCATTTATGTATCTGAATTTTAATTTTCCTATGTGTAATTTGCTTATGCAAGGATCACATGAGATAACATGTGTGAAAAATTATTTGGCAATTAGAAAGTCCTGTTCATTCATACAGATTACATGCGAGCTAGGTAGGGGAAGGTCCTAGAATTGAGGGGAAGAGTAGTGGTATGTGTGGAAATAGACAGGAGACAGACTTGCATTTCTCCTAACAGCCTTTTCCCCTAACCCTGCTCTTTTAGAATTAGTTCCATTTGTGGAAATTCTTTGCTCTGTGCTGAAAGTCACCCCAATTTCTTTGTTTTTCAAATGTCATCAACCTGAAGCTGAATTTGTCTCCAAGTTTTCAGAACAAGGTAGGTGTTTATGTTGAAGTACCAGAAACTTAAAATTGAATATTCAACATCCTTGTTGTAAAAGAAGTCCTTTGGGTGCCCCACCACTACTGGGTACCCCACCACTATTGGGTATTTTCTCCCTGTCAACATCAGCTGCAAGTTCTAACTTTTGGTCATGCTCTCTTATAAGCACTATACGTTTCTTGCTAACTTTTTATGAGGAATCAATTTTCTATTCCTAGACTTACTGTTTCTTTTTATATCAGGTTCTTGAGATGCATAGTTCTCACTTAAAGTAGCCTATCAAGATATTTCCTGGAAAAAAAAAAGGGGGGGTTCTTACCCAGAGCTCTCAAATGCTAATTGTAAAACATTACATTTTATTTCTTTTAGAATTTACATGTTACATATTATGGTACTTATTGTACTAAATCAACAAAACCTGTAGACCTAGTATTAACCACAGTTATGGTATGAGCAATGAGAGATTATGGTATGAACCTTTACATTTTAATGTTATAGATACTGTTTTCTAGCATTTTAAATTCACATTCAAAGAATTAAACTGATCCTATTCTATTTCATGATCTACTATTATATTGGTCGGCCCATCTGCTTACTTATTCTTTTTATTATTTTTACTTTGCTCTTCTCACTGCCATATTTTTCTTATTCTTATGATTTATGTATATCAATCAAACTTTCTTTTCATATATTTACATACATATAAGTACAGAAATGAGAAAAACATACACTGTTCCATGTGTGTATTTAAAAGAAATAAAGTGACTTTATCCTAAATCTTACTCTCTTTCTGGGTGTCCTCAAATATTTAGTTTGAAATGCATTCTGATTGCTATATGTAGATCTAGCACCAAGTGGTATATCATTTTGTAGTATCTTTTTTCCCCTGTGTCAATGAAAAATGATAGTAAAGCAGGACATATTTCTTATCTACATAATAGGAATAATTCACTTAAACCATAGACAGAGTTTACATGGAAGGTGTTTAATCAATGGTAAAGGGATTCAAAACACATTTCCCCAAAATATGACACTTTAGCATGAAGATGAGCTAAAGGCAAGCAACACCCAGCAGACTCCGGAAAAATTCTTTACTCCCCCTTACCTGCCTAAAAGAAATAGAAATTTCCTTATTTATGGGGGAAATCTGCAATTATAAAGGAAATTTATACTGGAAAGGGGACCTGCACCAGGATAGAGCTATTACCAGAGGTAACTTTTTTTACTTAGGAAATTTATCTGCATAACAGAGCAACTTTAGTTTGCCAAACATTTCCTCCTCTTACCTTCCTATGAATTGTCTTTTCTCCCGTTTACACCCTAGACCCCTATTTTATAAGTCTCACTTGCCTGGCTGCATTTAGAGTCTCATATCTTTGTGGGGCTCCCAAATGTACACAGTTAAATTTGTTTTTCTCCTGTTAATCTGTCTTATGTTATTTTAATTGTTAGACCAGCCACGGAACCAAGAAGGGTATAATGAAAATCTTCCCCCCACACACAATGGTAATTAATTATATGAGACTAATATGAATATAGCAAACACATTTAGACTTTATATTTAACATATCTGATTATATGTCTAAATACTAAGTCTTTTAATGTGGAACCAAAATTATAAATTCTACATTGAGTAATACAATTAAGGAGACAGAAAATTTCCTGAGAAATTCCATGTGCTCTCGGCTGGAAGTTTCTAGATGTGCTGTATGACAAAGATACATACATACTTTATGAAAAATACAATCCTCAGCTACCCTGGCTCTACTGAATCAGAACCATTAAGGAGAATTCTAGCCATTCCTCTAATTTACATGCCAACTGAGTAAGAGGAGGTCATGGAATCTCTCTTAATCTCTCCAGGGTTAATCTGAGAGGGGAGAGTAGGAGTGTGTGAGGGGGCAGATCTGAAGTCTGTATTTCTGTCTGTCTGTCTGTCTGTCCCTCTATCCATCTCCATCTATCTAGAGCTAGATGTATGTATATAGAGAGAGCTTATATGAATATATCTTCATCTAAATCAATTGATCTATCTTTTTAGAGAGAGCTAGAGCTAGATCTTATATATATATAGAGAGAGAGAGAGAGAGAATATATTTAATATATGTGTGTATATATATATATACATATATATATATATATATAGAGAGAGAGAGAGAGAGTATATATTTAATATATGTATGTGTATATTTTCACACAATGCTGATATAGGCAGTTCTTAGTACCACTCCTTAGAACACAGCATTTCTGAGATTGATCAGAGATGGATAGCCAAATCTGCTATTACTATTCTAGCATAGAAGGGATTGAATTTAATGGTATTGATGTTGTCATATATATGTTTAGAGACTGAAAAATTTGTTGCCTAAGCATTTAAAATCATGGAAAAAGTAATGGTCATAGTAGTTATCGCACAAGAGCTTCAGATTAATGATTCTCATTGTTATAATTTGATACTTTTAACCTTTGAATTCATTCTTGGTCTAAAAATTTCTAGGCATGGGTGTTTGGGCATTTCTCTGCACCAGTTATTGATGAGTAAAAGCATTTTCAATCATTTTAGAGCAATTAATTTAACAGTGGGTCATTTCAGTACATTTTTGTTATGAAGTTTCTAATTCCTTAGTTATTTTAAAATCTTGTGTGTGTGTGTATATGTGTGAATATTTATTAGTGAAAGTGGAAGTTATAAGGGAATGGATAAAGCTCTTTATATCAGTCTTGAATTACTAGTCTGAAGATCACAAATATGTTCAAAATTCATCTTGTTTGCTCACAGGATGAGTGCTTGGTCAATTCAGATAAATCCAAAACAAATTCCTGAATGCATGTGTACTTATTTATTGGTTACAGAGGAGAAAATGGCTGACAAGTCTACACCTGTGGCTAAATATACTTGCCACAGCCATTTAGGAGGGAATAATTACTAGTTGCCACTCAGAATTGTACCATAATCATTTTAAAGCCAATTTTGGTAATGCCCCATGAAAATATGAACTCTGATATGGCCAGAACTGATTATTATGGTTTCATGTCAGATTTTTTTTTAACCAAAAGCTGGATGATTTCTGGACATAGAAGCTGAAAAAAATCTTTTCTAAGCACAAGTTCAGATAATGTTTGCGTATTATTTCACTGAAGAAAAATTATAGACACTAATTAACAAATAATGCCTTACATTCTTTAAGAAGAAGAGATTTCACTTATAAAATGGTGGCAGAAGTGATTATGTAAGGTATTACACTGAGGTAATATTCCCTGAAGATGTGATGGTAGTTGGGTTTTTTTTCCCTCCTATTAAGCTATCGAAGCCTGAGGCTCTTTAAACCCCAAAGGTTTGATAAGAGCAATTGAAAAGCAATGAACAAAGTTTTAGCACTACTCCATTTCAGCAAAGAGGGATTAATTAAACTCAATTTGTAAATCTTCAACTACTGTGTCAAGACTTCAGTGGTTTAGGACTGCTAAAGGAGGAAATGTATGTGACAGAAAAATGCACTATGTTTTTCTTCAAATGAAAGGGAGTGGAAATGAAAGATAAGAAAACAAAAGATGATCACATATAGTTTCCAGTGGTAGGCTAGCAGGTGGTGCAGGCAGTCAGAGAATAGAGTACACTAAAATACTGCTTATTTACTGGTGTTTGGGGTACTTTTTTTTTTTTTTTTTTTGATGGAAAAGGATACGGTTGTTCTACTTAGGAACTCCTTAACTTGACCTTGACTGAGATATTTCCTCCTTCTCTCTTCAGGTTCTAAAGACTGCCAAGCATCTCAGAATTGCTCCAATGTTGGAAAGGTAGGGGAACAACAACAACAAACAACAACAACAACAAAAACAAAAAAACAAGACACAGAAGAAAAATGCCTATAAAGACTACCAGGTTTGGGGCACCTGGGTGGCTCAGTCAGTTGAGTGACTGACTTCTGCTTGGGTCATGATCTCCTGGTTTGTGAGTTCGAGACTGTAATCTGTCTCTCTGTTGTCAGCAAGGAGCCTGGAGCCTGATTCAGATTCTCTCTTTCTGCCTCTCCCCTGCTCATGCTCTGTCTCTCTGTCTCTCAAAAATAAATACATGTTAAAAAAAATATTTTTTAATTTAGCCCAGCATGACTCAAATATTGGAAATGACTAAATAAACTGTTGAATTAGAATAAGGGAAGAATGTTTAATACTTAAGTAAAATTCTGAATGTACCAACTTTTAAGCAAATCCCTTTAATAGATTTTTATTCATAACAATGTTTATCAAATCAAAAGTTCACATTAGAAACATAAAAGAATACAAGTATGTAGTTTATATGTAGAATATTTTCTTAAAGATGTGCTATTTGTATATGCCTCTAGCTTTCTAGCATTTCATTCACTGTACCAAAGATCTATGGCATTGTGTAATATAATGTTCTCAGGAAAGACAAACATGTTAATAATAATAATGGCAGCACCAAGAAAAGTGACATTTAAAAAAGCATCTTATGTTCAAATATTTTTTAAATGAAAAAATAGGTAATATATGCAAAGATAATTATAGAAAACAAACATTATAAGCTGTATTAGTATGAAAACAAAATAATTTTATGATCATAATGTATGTTTATTAACAGCTATGAATTAAATTTTAGCATAACTTTTATGTCATCTATGTAAGGGAAAAATATACCAATACCTAGAATTGGAAAACATATCTCACACCATACCAATAGAAAATACCTTATAAGTATTATTTACATAGATGAATTTTTCTTTTTCTTTGACAGAAGATGAAATGGACTTCCCACTTTTCCATGCTGATTCATTTTACATATTTTACCTCTATTTATTTTTATTGCTACCATGTAGTAATGTCTGATGAGAAGTCCCTCTTAAGCATTCCCATGGGAAGATAGTATTGAAGGAATTTGGTTTTAGTGTTCAGGTATAATTTTCCAGTAATAAAGACCCATTAATGTTTTTCTTAATGAATATGTATTTTCTAATTAGCCACTTTTTTTTTATCCACCAACTCCACTAAATCAAAATATTTCATTCAAATGATAGTTTCTTAGCAAATATATGTAATAGCATATATCTTGGGAAGCGTTGCTGATGATAAAGGGTAGGGGGCATAGGGCACATTTTTTGAAATCAGAGCAAACAATAACAAAGCCCTGGCTCTGCTATTTAAAGGATAAGTGATCTTGGAAAATTGTTTGGCCCCCTTGAACCTCAGTTTCGTCATTACTAAATTGGGGATAATAATGATCCCTATTTCACAATGTTTTTTTGTTAACATTTAAAAAAATGTTTTATTTATTTTTGAGAGAGAGAGACACACAGTATAAACGGGGGAGGGTCAGAGAGAGAGGGAGACACAGAATCTGAAGGAGGCTCTAGGCTTCGAGCTGTCAGCCCAAGCGGGGGCCTGAACCCCAAAACTGTGAGATCATGACCTGAGCCGAAGTTGGCCTCTCAGCCAACTGAGCCGCCCAGGCGCCCCTTCACATTGTTGATAAGATTAGATGAAGCAACGCATACAACATCTCTAGTACTGTTTCAGAAATCTGGTCTGGATCACTGGCGGAAGAACCAAGCGGCACTCGGAGATCTTGGAAAAGAAGAGGTTTATTTTACACTGGCGGGCTCAGAAGAGATCATTCTCCAGAGGTCTGAGCCCAGAACAAAGGTGGTCGTTTGTTATAAAGTTAAAAGAAGCCCACCCGAACCGGCAGAGGTGTTTAAAGCTGATTGGATGTATAGGGGTAGGGTGACTTGGGGTCATCGATATGCAGAGGTAGGGAAAGGTAGTGCGTGTGGGGAGCACCCGGCCTGGGCAGTTTGGACAGTTTGCCATTATGACCTATATGACCTCAAGGAGTTTTCCTTTATTTTCTCCAATACAATCCCTGGAATTTAATTATCTCTCAATAATGCTAGCTATTATTATCATTATTATTACTATTATTAAAATCCTTCAACCTATTGCCTGTGGCCCAGACAGCCTTAATGAGCTTAATAGAGCTTTTTCCTGAATCTATGCTTCTGACCTCCCTTTTATTATAGCATTTATTTAGAAAACTAGTTATTGTATATTTTCTCTCTGTCCCTGTGAGATGTAAATCTTTTTAAACTCTTGCCAGTTTTATAATCCAGAAGTGTATTTCACAAGGACCCTGGAGCTATCCCTTTGAAATGTAATTATCAAGGAAGTTAGCAGCCCATCTCCAAGTCTCTGTGGGAGGGTAAGAGCCCAACTTCAGTGGACATCTTGGTTCAAGTTGTAAAACTACATCATGGCAGAAGACAAAAGAACGTTTGCTTTTCTTTTGGTAAAGCCAGTTAGCCAACACAGATCCTGTTCCCCATAGCCCCACCTCAGCTTTTAGAAATTCTCCTGCCTTTTATTTCTGCAGAGTTGAGTTTTCAGACTCTGTGCTTTCTTTCCTATTGCTAGCAATTGTATCAAAGTAAACTCAACATTTCTCTGCTCATCTCATCTGTGCAAGTTGTTTTTCTTTCTTTCAGTTTTTTTAAGTAACTAATGAATAGTGAGAACTTAATAAATGGTAGTAGATATTGTTTTTAATTTTTTAGAATAGTGATATGAAGCATTACCTTTTAACCTATTTCCTTGAAGAATTGAAGGTATATTATAGGTGTTAATATAAAAATACAAGAAATGTTGAAATTTGTGAAACAATGCAGAACCACTGTTTATTTATGAAAAGGAGAATTTGGGGTAAAGACAGGACAGATAGCTGTGGACATGAGTATGTAATGGTTGAGTCATGCATGATTTTGTTCAAGATGAGGCACTAAAGGAACTATGAGGACTATATGGTGATTCGATAACCAAATGCCTAGTAAAAAATAGAAGATACAGAAAAACAACAGGTCTGAGAATGAAAGGAATATGTGTTCCTGTGTCCCAACGATGGTGGGTAAGGGGATGCCGGCAAGTGTACATTGACATCAATGGAAATAAGACAACAGCATCTTCAAAGGAGGGTGAAGGGAAATGGTCTGGAACTGGTAATGACTTCGAGTTTTGTGTTCTCAACATGCAGTGCCTAGTCTAGCAGCATCAACATCACCTGGGAACAACTTAGAAATGCGAATTCCTGGGATGCCTGGGTGGCTTAGTCCATTAAGCATCCAAATCTTGATCTCAGCTCAGGTCATGATCTCAGGGTTTGTGGGATTGAGCCCCACATCGAGCTCTGTGCTTACACTGGGAAACCTGCCTGGGATTCTCTCTCTCTCTCTCCCTTACTCTTTCTCTCTCTCAAAACAAACAAACAAACATTTAAAGAAATGCAAATTCTCCATTCCCACCCCAGACTTTCCTAGGTTGAGGTTCAGAAATCTGAATTCAGTAAGGCTGAAATGTAAGTAAGCTGTTAATATTATTAAAATTTACTTGTTAGGCCAAGTCTTCCAGTTAAATGTGTTATTACTTATTTTTTAATACACATGTTCCAGAGGGTCTATTTCAGCCTCAAATTTTATTTATCCTAATTCTTTTTCAACTTAGAAAACTTAGCATTAAGGTACAATAGAAATAGGAAAAGAATAAAAAAGAAAGAAGATGGAGGACAGAAAAGAAGTAGAAATGAAAGAAGACTTGGGGAGAAAAAAGAAACCAAAATTCTAAGGCTTTTTTACAAAGAAAAGCTACTTCATTCATACCTAAGACCAAATATGCCTTGCATAGCAAAAGTTCAAGAAAGGAGAATTTTTTGTTTCACATGTAACAGAACAAGCAAATTTGTTTTTAATGCCTATTCTGATACTTCAGGGAAAATTGCAGTGAGAAAGGAAGACAGCACAGCATGCCTCTTCTGTATCAGTCAGCAGAGATGTGATCAGAGGCTCTTAAACTTTTTGGTTTCAGGATGCTTTTCAAGTCATTAATGTCCACAAAGAAGTTTTGCTTGTGTGGGTTTTATCTGTTGATATTTACCACAGAAAAAATGAAAACTGAGAATTGTCTTCAATTAGTATTTTAAAATAACAGTTTTAAAATATTATTTTAAAAGAACAGTAACAAATTCTCTACCTTTTAAAATAAGTATGTATTCTGATAAAAATTACTATATTTTCCAAAACAAAACATTAAGAAGAGTAGCATTGTCTTATATTTTTTAAGAAATTTTTCTTGTGTCTGGCTTACTAACACAACTAGAATCCTCACTTGTGCTGCTTTTACTCTTCTGCAATATTTTGTTTTGGTTGATGAATGTAAAGAAAATCCAAAGCACACAGATTTGGAGTAAGAAAGGTAGGATTACATGGAACACTCAAATGGGTTTGGGGACCCCTCAGTTCTCACTTGGAAAACTGCTGGACTAGATTATTTTAGAGACCCCAAATCACAATGGTTTACAACAAACACCTCCCAGACCTCAGAGACTTGCCACAACAAAGGTTTGCTTCTTGCTCCTTTTTCATTTTATGTGGTTCAGCTGGAGACTTCGTTTTATAATGTCTGTATGCAGGGATGAGGTGTATCTGGGCAGCCACTGTCTGGGTATCACCAGTCCTTGGGGGACAGCCGAATGAGTACAGTGATATGTGCACTTGTTATTAAAGATTTGGCTGGAAATTGACCACCTCACTTCTGTTCACATTTTGTTAACCAAAACACCTATTTCAAGAGATAGTGATCATAATCATCCTTCAGGGAAAGCACTGAATATTGATGAATAGAACCTATTTTACCATATTTACACCTACAGATGACCAAAAGATGTTTGTTAAACATGTTTCCCAGGCCAACTTTTGCTGAAAGTGTTATTTCAAAAGGAAATATTTTTTAAATATAATCATAACATCATGTTAAGTTAGATATGATTTGGTTTCTGTGTTATT